AGACTTGGGAAAAAGCATTAGAGAATGTCTCAAACGATGATGAGAATTCAGGGGTGCCCTAAACTCAGAGCACTTACCAACCTTCCCAGAGAAGTGAATGTGACATCAAACAAATGCCCCTCTCAGGTTATCACCATTCTCTGAGACTTGGGGAACTGCTTTGGTCAGAGTGTTGGGAGTAACGTTTATCTTTAGATAATGCTTTAAAGGCAGCCAGGTGTCCAGGGTCAGCACCATGGAGCGGCGTCATAATTCTAGCCTCTTGTGTTTCTTGAAAGACCCACTTTCTCCCCTTGCCTGAAATTAGAGTTGGGGAGTTACTGCTGGTTGTATTCCTGGGTGAGCTTTGCCCTTCTGAGACTAACATCTCCTAGAAGGCATAGCTTCTCCTTGCAGGAAGTTTTCCCCACCACATAAACATTCATCCAAGCAATTCCTGGATCTCTGTCACCCCCATGTGACTGATCCTGAAATAGAATACAGGAATCACTAACCCTGAGTAGTTCATATCCTGCAAATAAGTGATAGCTGCACCTGAAGGGAGCCTGTGCATAAACCCAAAGGAAGGGACGCCATCAGCATTGCCAGTTGAGGTAATTTGTGCACTTGTGCGTAAGTGTATGAGAAAGCATATATGCACCCATGTAATCACATGCATGTGTTCTGTATGTCTATTCATGTGAAAATGTGCAGGTATGTGTGTACCATGTGTGAGTGTTGTACATGCATGTGTTCCAGAGTGTGTGTGTGTGTGTATGTGTGTGTGTGTGTGTGTGTGTGAACAAGATATTAAATGAGCCTTTTCTTATTAGGAATTTAATTACTTAAAGTTCAAGACAATGAGCAGTAAGTGCCCTCATATTCAAAAAAGAAACGACACATCTTAAAAGATGTCCAAGCCAGTCAAGGGACTGTCTCCCTGTAACTGTCTGAGAGGAGATCAGATTGACATCACCAAGAGCAGACCCAAACAGAATCCATAGGACAATCCCAAGGATCTCTGGAGAATGGAAACCTGTGTTGTCTGTCACCTAATCTCTTCCCTGTTCTCTGTTGTTGTTAAGTGCCTCTGAGTCAGTTCCAACCCATAGCAATCCTGTATAGGGTTTCCGAGGAGTGGCTGATGAGCTTGTACCGCCCACCTTGTAGTTCAAACTGACTTTGCAGTCCAGCACATAAACCCACACTGCCACACCAGGACTCACTGTTCCCTAGAAGAGCTGAAAATTACCTCCTGCTTGCAGAAATAAGGGTCACTGCTAAGACTTGTCTGCTAAAATCACAACTTGTACTCCTCAATCCATACACCTGCATCCCTGGGAACAAGTGAGCAAGTGAGGAATATTGATGCATCAGCTCATTTGTTCATTGGGAATGGAAATGTATTCTCATGTAGTAATCAGGTGTTAGAATGATAGTTCAGGGTAAGCTGTGTGCACAGGGTAGGACCTTTGATCAGGGAAGCCCTATGGAAGAATCAGGCAGTACTAGCCAAAATTATTTCCAAAGGTCATTTTCAACCCAAAGTGCTAGGATCCTAAAAACAGATTAACAGTTGCTCACATGTTGTTATTAGTTGCTTTCAAGTTGGCATCCTTGAGTAAAAGTGTATGAATACAAGACTCAGGGAAGTCATTCCAAGGTGGCGGCTGTGGCTCCACCAAACAGTGACCCAAGAGTGGCTTGTGGAGACACAGATGAGTGGTTCTAGATAGAGTGAGACAAGACATGCAGGGGCTGGGCAGACCTTTTAAGTCCTGTGAAATGAAAGCTTGTTCTAAAGATTCACTTATCTCTTAGCTATAAGAGCAACACATGTTTATTGTGAGGGTTTAGAAAGTATGGAAAACTATGTAGTATAAAATAATATCATTCATACTCCCTATTCATCAACCATCCATTAATAGCTTAGGTGTATTTTCTTTCATTGCTCTTTCTAGAAACTTTTGCATAGTTAACATCATTAATACTTACAAGGTCCTGTTCCTTTTACTTAACATCCTTCCATAAGAATTTCCTCCTGTCACTGAGAACCTCCATGAATTACTTTAATCACTGCATAATATCCTATGACATGGGCAGATCACAATTTCTATAACCGATTTCCTAATGTGACACATTGAACTCATTCTCTCTCAATCTTTTTATTTTTCATTTGAAACCACTTTGTCATAAACTTTCCTATACATGAATTCTTGTTTCTGTTTCAGATTGTTTCTCTTGGATCAATTACTGGAAGTAAAATTTCCAATTCTCAGCGTGATAAATTTGCTAAGTAGCACACAAAAACATTAAGGTGTCCATTTTTAAGAATCCCGCTGTCTCTGAGACTGTGTCAACATTATTGACAATATTAATAACTAATATTCAAATGGTCCAGCCTTTGCTGTATCAGTTGCTCAGCACATATTAACTTCCAATGACCCTATAAAACAGCATCACCATCAATTTTACATAGGTGGAACCTGAGATTAGAGTAGACAAATCATTCCCTAAAACAGAACAGGGCCGAGGGTTAGAATGATTCACTTTGTATTAAGTAGGGAAGGAGGAGTGCCAACGTGGGGAGTGATCTCCCTTCACTATATCTGTGTGCATATAATTTCCACCCCCATATCAAGGTGGATATTGTTTTCCTTGCTTTCCGTAGGCAGAAACAAAAGCCAATTAATAGCAAATGTTTTGCTAAATGTTGTTTTGCTAAATGCTGTTAATGAGTCCAGCCAGGGTTCCAGAAAGGAGCAGCAATTGCTGTCCATGCTAGACACAGAGCTGGTCACTAGGTATGGAGCTATGAGCAAGGCAAAGATAGTCCCTAGACTTGTAGAAGGATCCCTGGTGGTGTGGTGGTTAAGCACAAGGCTGCTAACCTAAATGTCAGGGCTTGAAACCCACCAATCTGTCTGTGGGAATAAGATGTGGCAGTGTGCTTCCTTCCAGATTATAGCCTTAGAAACCCCACAGAACAGTCCTACTGTATCCCATAGGGTTGCTATGAATCAGCATCCACTGAAATTTACAGTTTTCATCAAACTAAAGGGGAGCCCATTAATTGATTAAAAGTTAGAACTCCAACCTCTGAGTCCATTCATTCACACACACATTCATTGATTTATTTAAGCAATCATGCATTCACAATTTGTGAATACCTATTATGTGTGTCACCACCCATCTGTCAGTTTGTCATACTGTGGTGGCTTGTAGTTTGCTGTTATTCTGGAAGCTATGCTACATGTACTTCAAATACTAGTAGTGTTGCCCCTGGTTGACAGGAGTTTCCAAATAACACAGAGTATGAAGAAAGACCGGGCAATCTATTTCCAAAATTTAGCCAATCTATAGACTACAACAGAGTCTTCTAATACAGTACTGGAAGAGGAGCCATTTCTGTTGGAAGATATTCAGAATATGCCGTGACAACAACAATGGACTTGGTGTACCAATTGTTGTTGTGTAAGTGCCGTCAAGTCAGTTCCAACCCACAGCAACCTTGTATAGGGTTTCCAAGAAGCACCTGGTGAGTTTGAACTGCCAACCATGCCATTCAAAATGACTTATGGTCCTGTGCTTATCCTACAGCGCCACACTAGGACTAGACAATATTTAATTCTGGATGCTATGTCATACATGGCTCTTGTTCACATACTGCATCTCAGTGTCCAGTATCACCCAAGTTTCCCTTCATTTTAATCCAGGTCTTAACTAGGGTGAAATTCTGCCTAGTTCTTGTTTTCCCTTTGCCCTGACTCTTGATGTGTATCCATATTGTCCTGTTCCTCACCTTCCCATCATTTGATCTCCTGCCCTGGACCTCCAGCCTAACCCTCTCCCCTTCTTTTCTAAGCATTTCCACTCCTGGCTCTAGATGCCACTAGTTGGTTTTATGTCCAAAAGAGGTATCTAGTAATTGCATTGGAAGAAGAACCTCATAATGAATTTTTAATATGTGTAGCCACTGCAATGGGAACACAGGATATCCACTTTAGCCCTGATATTTCCATGGTCTAATAATGATCCTTTTTTCCTGCTGCTCATATAGAGTGACCGGAGGTTAGAGTGCAGTTTTCCTTTGTCCTTGCCACCCCAGCCCTTGGCCAGACATTGAAGTTGAGAAGATCATACTCAGAAACTTGTATTATCGCACAGGTCCCTTTCTAAAAGACACGGCAAGGTCAGCAGTTCAAACTCACCAGGTGCAAAATTCTACAGTGAGACTTGTTGTTCTTAAGTGCCATCACGTCAGTTCTGACTCATAGTGACTCTGTATAGGGTTCTCAAGGAGTGGCTGGTGAGTTTGAAATGCCTACCTTATTGTTCAAACCAACCTTGTGGTCTAGTGTTTTATCCCACAGCACTTAGGAGGATTGTAATGGAGATATGACAGTGTAGGAAGAGAGAAAGTCATTCTTTACTATCATGTTGGGCTGAGGTGGGCACTCTCTTGAATGAGCTGTGTGATTTATAGGCAGAGCATTTCTGGAAGCTTCAGTGAAGTGGACTACTAAAATCATCTGCCTCCTAAAATTGATGTGAAGGTTACTAAGTCAACACTTGACATGAACAGACAATTCACAAAGGATGTATCATTGTTGTGGAGAAAATTGGAGTCCAGAGAAGTAGATAATGCTACTAACAATCATAGTCACACTATAGGTAGTTACTGAGTATCCCTATGTATAGGACCTGCTCTAGTGAAACTTTGTCTCCCCTTTCGGTTCCAAGGTGCCCTTGGCCCTAGTCAGTGTCTAAGAAGGTCTGGGGCCAGGGTCTGTGCATCTCAGGCCATAGGTCTGTGCATCTCAGGCCATAGGTCTGTCTGTGTCCCATGCTGTTGTCTGCTCTTCCTAGGCCAGTGCATGGTCTCTCATCCTGAAGTCTCTGCCCATCTATAAGAGTGGGGCGTATGAGGAGGAGAGTGGGGCAGCAGGCAAAGGCGGCTGGCATGGGCTTCCTTTCCTCACCTTGGTTGTTCTGCCTTATTCACAGAGTTCTACCGAGGGATGGCTTCCACCGAGACTGACATCGCCATCATTGCAGGTGAGCTGTCCTTGGTCTCTGAAGCAGCGGGAGGGTCAGGGGAGGAGGAGGGTTATTTGAACTGGGGGTGGCCTTTGGAAGGTGTGTTTCTCTTCTCAGTGGTAGATTCCATTGTGGAATGAAAAAGATCTCAACTGGATCCAAGTGGAGAGGCAAGGCAACAAGGCTGGAGAGAGAGGGACTCTGTCTGTTGAGGTCTGGGGGTGAAGGTGTGTTTGTGTACGGGAGTGACAGGGGCTTGCGGATTCCTCCCCCATCTCCTTCATCCCACACTCTTCTTGCCATCTTACCTTCATCCTTCACTAAATACAAATTTGACCCTGTATTGGCCTTGCTTGGAATCCCCGCTGGCTCCCCATCGGTCAAACTTGTGCTCTCAAATTGTGTTTTAAGAACAACTAGGTTTCCTGAAATCCACATTTTTCATTAGTTCATGAGTAGTTCAAGGGACTTCTAAATTAAACTAAATTAAGCAATTAAAGACACCAATTTAGGCCCTTCCCTTTATCAGGAAACACTATTGACACTGTGCAGATGCAAGCACTCAAGTGGAGGCAGCAGAAGTTTGGTAAATTGACCTACACACAAAGATGGGTCTTGGGAGCAGCTTTAGCCTCCCACTATCACCATCAGCCCCGTTGGTGGTGGTGGTGGTGGTGGTGGTGGTGGTGGTGGTGGTAGACCGCCTAATTGATTCCCAACTCATAGTGAACATGGATAGGATTTCCAAGGCTGTAAATTTTTATGGGAGTAGAAAACGACTGGTAGATTCAAACTACTGACCTTATGCTTAGCAGCCCAGCTCATAATCTACACTACTGGAGGGAGGGGTCCCCCAAATAAACACACTGTCTAAGAAAGGACAGAGGACTTGTTCTGCAGCAAAATAAGTGTCCAAACCTCACACTAGCCCTTCTCCTTTGAGACTGTTGACTTAGCCCCTTCTAGAAATTCTGGAGTAGGCACCCTGTACCTTACCAACCATAAGGCCCCTAGTGATCTGGCCTCATAGACAAATCCTTAAGTCTCACTTCCCAACCTCTTTGGTGGAATAAGAAAGGACTAACTTCTCCTAAAACACTCTTCCATTGTTTACACCTGTGACTCCTACAGGATTCCCTCCCTCCTCAATCTTTTTCTGGCCATTCCTGATCCACTTTGTATACTCACCTCAGCATCATTTCCCAGGAGAGAATGGGGGCTGGATGGGGCAAAGAGCAGTCATCATTCATTTGAGAAATACAAATTGCAATTTACCCAACTTGCCCCCAAGAAGAATTAGTAGACCCCATATACATACACACATATTGCACCAAGGGCAATCCATTGGTACAGTTTGCTTGGGACTTTGTGGGTTTGGCCCTGCAAGTCCTTTGTCCCAGGAAACTGCTGGGATGGGAATGTTCTGGCTTTAAGACTGAACATCCTATAGTCTTTCATGGCAATGAACATAAGTGCATTGTGTGCTTTATGCATCTGCTGTGCTGATCGTGTACCTGTCTACTTGAGTAGATAGCATAGAGCAGGGAGCAATTCTGGGATACTATTCATGCCTCCATATGAAGGGTGCAGTGTAAGTAGGGAGGGGCTACATGGAGGAAAGAAGCAGGGGACAGAAGAAGAAAGAAAGGAAAAAAAGGGAAGAGAGACTGGGTGATTTTTGATAGACAGATATAAGGGAGAGAACACACCAGGTGGAAATTTGAGTGAGGATGAGTAGATATACAGGCATGGTATGGCTTGTCCCAGCAGTGTGTTTATTCTGGGCAGAACTTCTGTGTATCCCAACCTCGTGCCCAGACCCTGGGACTGCCTGGACTACACAGACCCACGCATTTCATCCTACCCACAGGTGTGATTATTGCTGTAGCCTTCATCCTGATCTGCCTCCTGGTAGTCACGCTACACTACATGTGCCGGCACAAGGGAATATATCACACCAATGAAGCAAAGGGAACAGAGTTTGCTGAGAATGCAGATGTGGCTCTACAGAATGACCCTGCCCTCCAGGATGCCTGTGACAGTATCAAAAAGGAGTACTTTATCTGAGGGGCACAAGACTTCACCTCTCTCTGCCCCTGCTCCAACTCCATGAAAGAAGATGTACCTCCCACCACCTGCAGTCGCCACCACCAGACCTGATCATGGAGCATCTACATTTTCAAAATGTGTGCCTCAAAAAGTAAAGGTCCTGACCAGAGCAGAGAGGAGGGGGCAAACCCCACAAGAGGTACCAGGAGTGCAGTGGCCATCGTATGGATTTCCTCTGCCCTGCCAGAAGTAGAACATGTCTGAATGTCATCTTCCTGAGCAATTCATTCTGTCATTGCATATGAAGCCTTGCTGGGTGGGCGAGTCAGGGGGCTGGAGGGAGAAATGAAGGGAGTTGTCCATTACTGACTGGAGGCAATCGTCTCAAAGGTTTGTACTTGACAGCAGCAGATGCCAATGCTAAAAGGCACCTTTCTCTCCTATTACTCCAATACATGATTGAAAATAAATTTAAAATGTAACCAAATATTCTGAGTTACACAGTATCACTGTCATTCATGGGAAGAGAGATTGTCTGGGGAGAGAGATGAACAACCACTCAGTGTTGCTCTTCACCAACAATTGCGTGTTGTTCAAAAGAAATGGTGAGGAGCTGGGAGACTCCATTTCTATCCCAGAGTGTCACAGGACATCATCCTTTGCGAGCTGCATGAAATAAACATAAAGGTGAGCTGTCCCTTTAAGAATGAGAGTGTCCAGGTGGCCAGGCCACTGACTAAAGCATTGATTTTGTAATGGGTAGCATTGGGTAAAGCAGATTACTAATATAATCTATTCTGATGTAAATCAACTTTAGCAAAAGAGACACGTGATAATAATTACTGACAACGGCACCAGCAAATGTGAGCACTGATTCCTTGAATGTGAAACCTAGCTCTGGATGCTATGTCACAGGTGGAACTTGTTCAGTGCCTGGGATTTTGGGCAAGTTGCTTGGCCTCTCTGACCTCAACGCCCTCATCTCTGAATACAGGTTTTATAATATGGTGGTGGTGTGCCATGGAGTCGGTTCTGACTCATAAAGACCCTGAGGCTGTAAATCTTTATGAGAGCAGAATGCCTCATCGTTCTCCTGTGGAATGGCTGGTAGTTTCAAACTGCTGACCTTGAGATTAGTAACCACACAACCCTACCAGAGCTCTTTACAATATGGTGGCTCTTATGATAACCACCAGTTGGTGTCAAGTCAGCTCCATCTCATGGTAATCCTATGTATGTCAGAGTATAACTGTGTTTTGTAGGGTGTTCAATAACTGATTTTCTTGGAAGTAGATCACAAGACCTTTCTTCCAAGGCACCTCTGGGTAAACTCAAATCTATAACCTTTTCATTAACATCTAAGTGCACAAAGTGCCTGCACCAGTCACGAAAAAGTTGATCTACTTTCAAAAATCAGCCAATGAATAATACCCAATAGATCAAAACAGTTTCAATACAGAACTGATCATGGGTATGACAGAAGACCAGGTAGAATTTTGTTCCATTGTGCATGGGTTGCCATAAATTGGTGGCTGACTTGATGGCAGAAAAATTGCATAGAGTGTTCAGTGTTCACTATATGCTAGTGTCAATGACTAATGTTGAATTTACAGTGCATATGTTTTGTTTAACAAAAGTTTCAAATTTCCATCGTTTAGGAGCTGTTCTTAACAAATAGTCATAATTCAAAATGAATAACATTTACATAGAAGAACACATTAACCATCCTCCTCCATGTGAACTTTTCTAAGACTTAACAGCTCAGCAGTCTGAGAGATCAAGACAAAGGACTGAACTTAGGGGCCTTGGGACTCCTTTGGGCATCTGGTATACATTAGAAAGTTCCTCACCACTTTCCATAGGATGATAAGGAGAATGAAATCAAGCTCAAAGACATAGGAATGATGAGACTGTGCTGGGGAGAGAAGCAGGGAGACCTCCTAGAACACTGAGTGGTATGAACCCCAATTTTCGCATCTGTAAAGTAAAGACTTGGGCTTACATCCATGTGTCACAAAATATGTTGTTGTTGTTGTTGTTTTCAGGTGCCATCGAGTCGGAACCAACTCATAGCGACTCTATGCACAGCAGAATGAAACAATGTCCGATTGTGGGCCAACCTCACTACCGCTGGCACACTTGACGCCATCAATGATGCCACCTGGCCGATCCATCTCGTTGGCAGTCTTCCTCTTTTTCTCTGACCCTCCATCTTACCCAGCATGACATCCTTCTCCAGCGACTGTTCCCTCCTGACAATATGTCCAAAGTA